ATAGAAACCCTAAAATAGAGATCAAAGATAGTTGACCATTAACTTCTTTAAGACATATCTACCTATGCATGCTGAGGAAACAGGTTAATAAATGAGACGCTGCTAGCATCGTCCTCACTCACAATACTCTTATTCCACATGATAATTTGCTTGACTGCATCAAACGCACCAACTTCACAACAATACTCACAAGCTGTCCGCATAATTCATCTTTTAGAGATATTTTTTTCGAAGAAACTGTCTAGTTTTATTAATTTGAGACGCGGAGATTTTCGAAATCCGAACCTTAAAAGCTGGATTCTCCACTTGCCATTCGTTAGTCAGTTGCCTAGTCCAGAACGGGTTTTCACCGTCTTTTCCTCTGAAATAATGGAAGACTTCCCCACCTGAAATTAAATTTTTAAGCTCTGAACTCTAAAGTTACACACCATCGACGAAGCGGAATTAATTTCTATGTTTGCGCATATTTCCAACTTTGATCAAAATGATACAAGTTATGCTTAAAAAACCTCTTTGCAGTTGTGAGAATACTGGTATCGTCCACTCAAACTTATAGGGGCTCGGTTGTAGTGCGCTGGTATTGAGTATGAATGGCTCTTGGGAATAGGTCACTTGTCCGTCTTTCGTTGTCAATTTCAGGACTGGATATGTGGCCTGAACGAGACCCGATTACACTTCAACCGTGAACACATCCCAAAAATGTTCAAAGATGACTGAGCCCATTTTTCGTTGTTATGATGGCGTGTGAGCGAATGAATGTGAAATTTAGCAGGCGTGAATTAGACGACAACCAGCGACTGGATGGTCACAAGATTTTGAGAACGAAAAATCTCGATGAACACAATGGTAACAAGATCATTATTCTCAATTAGTGTTGAGAGTCGCAAGATTTTTCGCAGTGGCACCCGACGAATGTTATGTCGGTGGCAATTGCATATTATTTGGGCGTCGTTAAAGTTACTGAGCAAGTTACTGAGCATGTAAGTTGACACGTGCAATTATTTGATTTATCATTAATTACATATTCTTAGGAACATCATTGAGACTGGTTACATGAAAAGACACCTGATACATCCAAGGATCCATCAGTGTGGCCACGTTCAAAGGTTGGTCGTTCCAACTGGGCAAGTGTTCATCATCTGCGACCTGCATGTGATGGCTGTTTACATGAAAGTCATCATAGACTATTTGAACGAAGCTAGGTGGACTTCCTTGTTTCAAAAATTGCTTAATTTTCGAACAAAAGAATGGAATCATATTCACGTTTGATGGTATTAATCGAAATCTGTGATTATTCCAACAAATCCTCAACAGCCACAGAATGATTTCAATTTCTAGCTTTTCATAATTTGGTCATTTTCCATGAAGCGGAATGATCAGTTTATAAAAGATCTCTGATTTCGTTTTGTTGATCTCACGAGACACACACCTTCGTTAACTCACTCCATAATTGTGTATCGTTCACATTCTTGTACTGATACTTATGCAGGTAATTGCGGAGACCAAGTTTCATCACTCGTGGTGAAATCGTATTGCTTAACATGTTCAGTAAACTGGCACCCTGAAACACTGATTAGTCATGTGATTCTGTCGAACCGTTGCTTTCATTGAAATTCAATCCACTTCACACCCAAAAGTTCAAAATTCTCTTTTCGGTCGACCTACTTTGACTGCATT